GAAATTTAAATATTGATGTAATTCGATAGTGAAATATTATATTTTATTTAAATATAGATGTAGATTTTAGATAAGATTGTTTTCAAATATGTTATATATATATGTTTAAATTTGTTTAGTGATAATAATTTCTCACTTTTCTACTATTTGTTAAAACCAGCAAGAACTAGTATAAACCAGTTATACCACAGGTCGGGTGATGATAAAGCGATTTGACTTTGATTTTGCCATTTAAACTACAGTTTGAATTATGATGGTATATTTTAGAAAAGATTCTTTAATTATGATCAAACATAAATATATTGATTAAAGTAACAGCAAACAAGTCAAGGGGATCAACCTGTAACCTTTTTATATAGCAAACTTTTTCATTTATATGATGTAACATAAATTTAGCTAGATAGGAACAAAAAAAGAATTTCTTACTATATATATGAAGGGCTTATGTAGCGTGGGATGACTTAATCATTGAAAGGACACTCATCCCTTAGGATATGCTCCTGAGTTTCTTGCAAACCACAGAAAGGACACTCATCATTGGCCTCATGAATTCTCCTAGCTAGGTTTCCTCTAGTAGGCAGGATATTGCTTCCCCAACGCCAAAGAAAGACACGGACCTTTGGAGGTAATTGTAGGTGCCACATTCTCTTCCAGTTCACAAGGATGTATCTTTCGCGTGCTTCACTTAGCTTCTACCTTCTCCATTCATGATAACCTGATTTCACTGAGTATCTTCCTAGTCTGTCTCATCCCCAAACCCTTATGTATGGTTGTGGGTTTTTATGCAAAGAATCTGAAGAATTCTCGCTCTATCAGTAGGGTGGAAATTTGACTGCAGAAGATTGCTTTTCCAATTCCTATATGATCAAAACCCCTTGCTTGGAGACCCAGATATGAAACTGGTGATTCAATCTTAAAATTGGAACTATTAGGCACCCATCTGTCCCACCAAATTCGAACTTGGTCTCTCGTTCCTTTTTTCCACCTTATTCCATCCTTCACTAGAGACTAAATAGCCATTAGACTTCACCATATGTAGGTTGGATTACTCCCCAATTCTGCTTCCAAGATGTCACAGTTAGGGTAGTATTTTGCCTTCATTACTTGAGCAACCAATGAGTTTGGATTCTTCACTATATTCCAAACCTGTCTCCCCAATAGAGCTATGTTGAAGCCACACAAGTCTCTGAACCCCATTCCTCCCTCACTCTTTGGTTGAGTCAGCCTCTCCCAGCTCATCCAGTGAATCCTTCTTTCCTCTTTCTTTTGTCCCCACCAGAATCCAGTAATGATTCATTGAATTTCCTGGATCACACCCCGTGGTATTAAAAAAACAGAAATAGCATAAGTACTCTATGCTTGTGCTATAGCATTTATAAACACTTCTTTGGTCGCATTTGACAGTGTTTACTCTTCCGCATCTTCACTTTCTTTCTAACCCTGTCAATTAGTTGTGAGAACACCACTTTCTTTGACCTTCCAATAGTTGTGGGTAGCCCTAAATACTTATCATGGAATCTTACTTGCTTCATACCGAGCAAATTAGCCATTGCTTCTCTGTCTTTCTCCCCCACATTGCTATTGAAAGGTAACTCATATTTGGGGAGACTAAATTGCTGACCAGATTCCTCCTAATATCTCTTGAGAATTAGCTTCATTGTTTTCACCCTCATCCTTCTTGCTGCTAATTTGTATGCCTTTCGGCCTCCCTTCTTCCACTGCTTTTTTAGTTAGAGCTAACAATCCCTCAACGCACATCAGAATAGATATAGGGAAATGGGATCACCCTGCCTTAATCCTCTATTAGGAAGGATTATCTCCGATTTGTAGTCATTGAATAGAATTGAATATGAAATCGTTCTTACACATTGCATGATGAAGGCTAGCACCTTGCAGCTCGATAACCGCATACTCCACCACTTGCTAGCGAAGTCCTTCACCCCAGTTGGGGACAGTGCCAGCACCCTCACCAGGCGGTCCATGTACTTCATCCAGTCCATCCGCACGGCGAACCATAATCTCCACCTGGGTTCTGTGGTGGCAAGGACTCTGGACAAGAGTCCTGTTCAACTAGGGACCCTCCACTGCACCCCCCATCACCCGCCTGGCAACCTATTTCCAAATCCCACTTCAGGATTGCACATAGCAGGGGGACACTTGTGTCTTCGGCGAAGACACGATCTCGAAGATGCACTTGCTGCGAGTCAAGCGCGACGTCAAGTGGATTGCGGGGTTTCCTGCTCCACCACTCCCTGCGGAGGATCAGCCCGCAGTCCCTGAGGATGATGCCACTGAGGATGTCCACCCCGATTATGTGGACGCTGCTGCCGCCCTTCACCAGACCACCTTTGAGTACGGGGGTGGCAGCTCCATTTTCCATCCCAGGACTACTTCACTCACCAGTTCCAGTAGCTGAGTCTCCAGAATCAGCAACTCCTCGACCATCATCTCCAGTTCCAGCAGCAGTACTCGGCTCACCAGGTCGAGTATAATACCCGGATGGCTGCATATGATGAGCGCCTTGACCGCATGGAAGCCTAGCAGGGGGTGACCCTTGCTCACATTGAGAGGGAGCGGGCACGGTCTCGGCATATGCAGGAGGTCCAGCAACACCTACTCCACTTCCACCCCTGCCAGCGGGCGATGATGCCTTCATGGATGACATCGACCTTGACAACCTTGGCGACGAGTAGTCTGTACCAGTCGCCCCTTCGCGTGTGTTTTTGTTTTGGACTTGTCTTGTTTGCTCCATGTGTGTGCGGAGCTTGAACTGAGTCTTTCGTGTGTTTTTTCTTTTTCTTTCTTTTGTGGATTGTCCATTTTGTGGCCATCTGGGCTAACTCTGATCCCTAACACACAGTGTGCTATTGTGTTCTTTATGTTCCCTTTGTGCAGAATTGTTCAGTCGTTCCATCTGTTTCCCGCTGACTGGTCCACTTCCAGTCTCCTGGCAGTCTTTCCACTCGGTAACATCGTTCCCCTTCTCTTTCCCTCTGCTCCATTGAGGGCAATGTCGCACTTAAGTGGGGGTGATTTTTATTGGTTGGAATCTATATATGTGTGCTTGGAGCCTAGTCCGTTGTCCAAATCTCGAGATTTGAGGGCTCCAAGTACTGAGATTTGCATGATCATATTGGCATTGTGGATTTGATTGGTGAATCGAATGGCTTTCGAATTAATGCATGAAAACTTGATTGTAACTAGGACAACCTATGATGATGACTGAGACGTGCAGTAGGATTGTGTAGGGGATCCGTTTTTCAACTGTTTGCTTACCAACTGTGACTTGGATTGATCACTTGCTCTTGATAGTCGTTTATGCATCTAGTTCAGGAAATCAGAATGAGAGATAGAGCATATAGGTAGCCATGTCAGATTTGAGCCTGCTCGTTTCTTTCTAGTGCGATAGATCCCTCTTCCATGATGTGTAGCGTTCACGTTATAACTAGCTGAGATGATGGAGGCATAGGAATAGCCCACGACCAAATTGACTGTCCTAGTGTGTCATACCCCCTAGTCAGCCCCTTTGAGCCGTGTACTTTTCTTTCTTTTGGTCTACAATGGAAAATCACCCTTTTGCATCTCTTAGAAGGTTCCACAGAGTGGTTTTTGCATGTTCTCTGCTATTTTTGCTAAATATAATGTGAGGGTTGGAGGTAATGCTTAAAAATTGGGCATGTGTTTGAAAAATGTGCAGAGGTGGTGGTTCTCTCAAGAAATGAAAAAAAAATGAATGAAAGCAAAACAGAGCCACTACCAAAAATCTGAATCATGCTCGTTAAGTAGTGTTTCTTAGCAGTCTGGCTTAGAAACACTAACATTATTGTGACCTCCTTCGCTCTTGTGCTCTAGAGAATTTGAGTAATGCAGAATGGCAGAAAGAAAGTTACTGGTTGATTTACAAGAAACCGCAGTTTTTGTGATGAGCAATTCGTCGCTAAAAGCAAAGAATTTCGTCGCCAATAATTTCTGCGACGAAACTGCACGTCGCCAAAGGCTGTTTCTATGCGTCGCCTAATACTTTTGGCGACAAAATATTATGATTCGTCGCAAAACATGATGTTCGTCGCTAAAAATTCAAGCTTTAGCGACGATTTTGTTCGTCGCAGTTAAACATTTCAGCGACGAAAATGATCGTCGCTAGTTTCCGCGACGAATCAAAGTCGACGCAGTAGAGAGACTTTCACGACGAATTCCCCGTCGCAAAACTATCTGTGACTTCAGGTACCACCGCACGTGTGCCTTTTGGCGACGAGAACTTTCATCGTTAGATGCCTTTAGCGACGACATAATTCGTGGCCAAAACAGTTAGTTTACTAATATTTTTGCTCTGCTTTGTTGTTTTTGTCCATTTATAGACTATCAATTAGCAAATCTGTTTGCAAAAGATAACACAATTGAATGCTTCTCATAACAAACTTTTCATTTATAGACTACTGAGTAGCTCTACACATCTACAAGACTATAACCATACAAAGTAGATGAATCCATCCAACATTTATAATCTCAAAGGAAACAATTAACTAATTGGAAGTTTTTCTATAGGATCTTTGAGCTTTCTTGAGGGACTCTGTAGCCTTTGTTTGCATATAAAATATGCTTCCACCAAGGACCATAATGCATCTTGTATTCACATAAAACCTAACCAAGTTAAAGAAACAAACACATAAATAAAGCAGAAATCATCATCAAAAGTTTGGTAATTTGCATAACCACAGCCAAACGTTCCCTTGCTTATATTTTGTGGTGGACAACTTTTCACAGTATATATAAATCCCTAAAACCAATCAGGAAGTCTAAAATATGCTACTCACCTTGTAACCAAGGTAAAGTGGACTATTAAACTCATTGGTTGTTGGCAAGTAAACAGGAAAATAAATAGAGTTCCTTGAAGCAATATGAGGAAGGTGGTAAGAGGATGACCTCATATATTTGTTCTTCCTTAGCACAATTCTGATTGCTCCACACTCATGTCCACGACAATTGCATGATTTGCTCGTTCAGACCTGCAAATTAATTGATGACAGAGTAGCAACGTCAAAAAAGCAGAAGAAATAATCAATGACAGAAAGAGCTAGGGTGAAATGCTCGGACATCTGTGGTAAGCGAAGGTTAGGTGAGGGCCTCCTAACCAGCATGCACAGTGATTCCTCACCGTCTTCTTCACCACCTAGCCTAGGGGCCCTTCACTATGCGATTCATGATCTTGAATTGCCGGTTCAAGTACTCGTCCTCACCGTTCACGAATTTGGAGAACAAGATCCTAGGAGCGAGCGGATCTGCGAGGTGAAGTATAAACGGCGGTTGTGAGATCCTTCCCGCAGACCTAGATGTTCACGGGCAGGACGAAGCTCTTCAGCCACTCCCAGCCCATTGGGCGCAGCCAAGCGCCAAGGAGACTCTGTTGTCGGGCCGGTCGAGGATGTTGTCGAGTTCGGTGGATGATTCAAGCCAGAGCAAGCAGTCGCCGCCGTGGGATTTTAGTTTCTTGGCAGTGTAGTAACTGTAGTTCTTAGAGATTAGAGCGGAAGGAGAAGAGATTACCAGGGGTGAAGTCCAGTCGTTGATTCCGTTTTGACCATGGCGGAGGGGTCTGCCGTCGATTGCCTCTGAGATCCAGTCGAGGATGGTAAATTAGTGGCGGCGGTGGCGATGGCATCCTCCTTGGCGGTGGATCTGGGAGCGGAGGAGCCGGAGCTCCGTTCCTTCAGTTTGGTTGGGGACATGGGGGAAGACAGCGATACAAAAGCTCGAACGGTGGTCGTGGCTACTAGATTAGAGCCCGCCCGTTGGACGGATTAATAACATCAATAGTATAAAGAGTACTAGAGATAATAGTAATTATCTTAATCAAGTTACTTTGTTATTTGCTATCACGAAAGAGTTAAAATCATTCATTTATACCAATATAAAAAAGGAACATACATGGTAAGTCTTTGGGTAAATACAAATTATAAGGCAAACCTTTCTAACTTTTCAGATTATTAGCCAAACCTTTCCAAATACAAAGTATTAGCCAAATCTTTTGTGAATACCATATGATTTGGCCGGAAAAAATCCCAATGTACACATGTTCTTAAAAAAAATTCCCAAAATACATAAGTTATAAATTTTTTTCCCAAAGTACACATGTTTGGCATTCACCGTTTTTGACAAACGCAGTGAAGGTGATCACCGCGTTTGACAAAGACGGTGAAGGGTTCACCGTTTTGTTCTAACACGGTGAATCAATCACCGTTTTGGTTTAAAACGGTGAATACTTCACCGTTTCTGTCCAAAACGGTGAAGCGACGCGGATCGCTGACGTGGACAAACGCGGTGTATTCACCGCGTTAGACAAACACGGTGAATACACCGTGTTTGTTTACGTCAGCGATCCGCGCCCATGTGCTTTCACCGTGTCCGTTGGATGCGGTGAGGCGCGGATCGTGGTTTTCTTCCCACGATCCGACGCCTCACAACATGCCACGTCCCCTCTGCAGGGACCGTTTTGGGGAAAACCGTTGCCTTCACCGCGTCCCTCAAACACGGTGAAGGCTCTTCAATTAAATGCTGCGCAGGCGCCTCCCCCCTTCCCCCAACTATAAATAACCCTCCCCCCTTCACTTACAACTCACACCACAACCATTTCACTTCTTTCTCCCTCAATTTATCCGCTCTAGTCTCGTTCTAAGTATGCTCTGTGGTTGCGGCTAAGTCCGATCTTCCACATCATAAAGAATTACTAGAGTTTGACCCTAAAGCCCCCGTCCCGCTAAGTTCCCGTCCCTTACAAACCTAAACCCGTCGAACCTCTGTCCGGCTTCCGCCAAAAAATGGACGAAGAGGCTCTTCGTGTAGGTTTTTGGTTTATGATTTTTTTTAATCGAAACAATTTGATTTTGTGTTTTTTTTATCAAAACAATCTCTGATTTCATTACTTTTTAATAGATGGGTGCCGAGATATACGATCCTCGATTGTATATCCATTATGGCCAAGGGATGCGAGTCTCTTAACCGATCAAGAAGCTCATCGCTCCCGTGCTATTTGGGATAACAATCCGGTAATTTTTTGAGTATTCTTGCTTTATTTTATTATTTTCTAAGGTTTTATTTTGCTTTATTTAATCTAATAAATTGATATTTTCCCTATTTTTTTAGGAATCTCTTGTACCCATGGTTTATAAAGGGACCAATAACTTGCCCGCTTGGCATCCAAGGTTGGAGCCCTATATAGCGAGGACCAGTTTGGGAATGTTGCGCCATTTCTTGCGGATCGAAATCGACAACGATCTGCTTACGGCAATGGCGGAACGATGGCGTCCCGAAACCCATACATTCCACCTTCCGGAGGGGAAAATGACGATCACCCTCAAAGACGTGGCGATCCTCACCGGGCTTCCTATTTCTGGAGATGCCATCATTGGTTCCACGACCAAACCCGAAGGAGGTTGGGGGCCGCTCATACGTGATCATTTGGGCTTCGACATTCCGACCACCACACCAAATCAAGGACGGGGGCATCCACCGTTGAATGCGGGCCAAGTGTCGGTCCCGTGGCTGGTATCTCACATCCAGCAAGAGGTGGAAATCAATGACGAGACACCGGAAGAACAAATCGAGCGCTACGCCCGCATCTACCTCATCAGTTTGGTGGGTGGATTTTTGTTCCCCGACAAGTCCAACCGGTGGATTCAAGGCATATGGTTGCCATTGCTCACTGGTGACTGGGATGCAATTGGAGAGAAGAGTTGGGGATCGGCCGTGCTAGCGGGGGTATACCGGGAGCTGTGTACTTGCTCGAAAGTTGGGGCAAAGCAAGCTGGTGCTGCGATGTTCATCCTACAACTGTGGGTATGGGAGCATCTTCCAATGTTCGCACCTCTCGACCCACGTCCATACCGGAGAAACGATGATGAGCTAAACTTTCTGCAAAATCTCCCCTACGGTGTCAAGTAAGTTTATTTCGTACTTAGCCTAATTTAAATTTTATTACATGCTTAGCTAGATTTAAATTGAATTTATTCCGTACTTAGTCCAAGTTAAATTTGATTACATGCTTAGCTAGATTTAAATTGAATTTATTCCGTACTTAGACCAATTTTATTTATTATTTGCTTAGCTATATTTCAATTAAATTGATTCCGTACTTTTACTTACAAGGTGGATAGGAGCAAATACGAATGATCATCAACCTGAGCATTCGTTACTATTTTATCGTTCTGAGTTAGATAAACCTTGGTGGAATCAGGTAATAATTTTTTGTCCATATTTGAACAAGTTAAATTTTATCAATGTAAATGGTCGTTAATTCCGAATTTTGAATGAATATAGGTTATATGGGATCCATATCCACGTGAAGTGTTTGAGCTGCATCATCTTAGACACCCTCTAGATCACGAGACGTGGTTGTGCAAGGTGCCATTGATCTGCTGGCACATGGTGGAATGACACCTACCCGATCGATCCTTGAGGCAATATCGAATGGAGCAACTAATTTCACAAGACCCGCCTCAAGGTTTCAGGGAGCTACATGCTATCAACCTCCGACACATTGCAAAGAACTGGCTCCTCAAGCATCAGTTCTACACCAACATCTGGGAGAATCGATCCCAATGGGTGGTGCAAGGGATGCCGGAGACGAGACCGATGGGCTACCACGATGGGTACATGCAGTGGTATCGGAAGTTCACCATGAGATGGGTGTCAAAGCAAGGTGCTGTGATGGGTTCGTTGGTAAGTCATCCTAAACTCCCTCATTCTAAAATAAATTTATTTTAAGGTTTAGTTAATTTGATATATTTTGTGCTTTCTTAAGGTTGATGGTTTGGAACACGCCAAGTACACTCTCGAAAGTGCTCCAACCATGGATGAGCGGAAGACTACTTGGTTGACCCGACTTATGAACAACCTCCTGAGTTGTACCAGAGAGCAAAGGAGGGATGTCGTGGCCTATCCTCCCGTTTCTGCCCCGGCACGACCCTCATTCCGTGATGATGCACCCATTGTGCCCCCGGTTGAGCCTCCACGAAGGAGCAAATGCAGGCCTCTTCCTACGTTCGAAGAGGTGCGTACAACTCAAGCAACCGAGCTCCTTGAAGCCTTCGAGTACCAGTGGGCACGTGCAGCGGATGCCGGTGGAGGGTCATCGAGTCACGGTCCATCTCAGGAACAGGCCTCTTTCTCTCATGGGTTCTCTCAATTCCAACATCAGCAACAGAGTTCGATGTATCAGACCCCGCAGCAACAAACTCCGCACCCCCGATCCACCGTCAAGCTACCGGTCCATCTCAGCCACCACCACCACCATATGTAACCCCAGTTGGGGCTCGGGTCAAGAGAAATCCGCGACCAGCCGTTGAGCGAGCCCGCCAAGAAGCAGCGGTGGAGGGGGGAAGAAGGGGTCGAGGACGTCGTGGAGGACGAGGAGGAAGAGGTAGAGATGGGGGCCAAAATAAAGCAAATGAGTGAATTTATCGTGTTTATCATTGTAGTGAACTATCAATGTTGTTTTTGACATTTTTAGGTGTTGTTATTTGAGTTTGCATTGTCTAAAAACTATCCTACACACTTAAGTTGTCGAATGAATATTCTGAATCATTTTATCAAGAATCAGTATCTGCCCTCAACACGAAAAAGTTGGGAAAATCAACCACGATCACATAGAATTTTACAGATCTCAATTCCAAGTCCAAACGAGTGAGATAAGTGAGTTCAAACCTGCACATGTCGTTAAAGTAACTTTTGCGTACTAAAAACTAAAACGCGCGTATCTTATTCGTTTGAGGTCGAAATAACGAACCGTTTGCGGCAGCGCGATAGTATCGACAAGGAGAACATTTTAGAGTTAACAAATTACGTGGACTTCAAATGAAAGCGGTAATGAAAATTTAAACAAGCGATCAATTTAGTAGCAGGATACAAGTAAATGCAAATTAAGATAGTGGTTGTCCTGGGAAACGCCTCTTGTCATGACCAGGTTGTCTGCACTTAGAGCATCGCTTCGGTCCCCTTCCTGTCCGTTCAACTTGATCCATCTCATTGTGTATCATTTCAACTCTAGGACAGCCTTTGGTGCGTTTTAGGTGCAACGGTGGGATAATCAACTTTCCAGCGTATATAGGCCAATACGCTCCATCTGGCATGGGGCTCAAAGCTTCATTATATGAGTTCCGTATCGCTTGTTCAGTGTAGTAAGGACTCACCAGGCTGTTTCTGTTCATGGTTATTGACTTAGCAACCGCCATTGCATGTGAACATGGTATCCTTTCGTTCTGATAGTTTTGACAAGAACACTCCCCTAATTCGTAGTGCAATTTAATCGTTTGACGATTGTGACCACGTCTCCCTCCACCCCATATACCTGTTTCCACAGCGAATATTCCTTCACTGCGGTTAAAAAGAACAACCTTATGCTTACTTGATTTTTCATCGTTCTTCTGCATTTGAGCGAATACGTCATGTGCTATTGAATGACCTTGCAACTCCCTCCCTATAGCTTGCTGTAGCCGAGCAATGCCTGGTTTAAAAGCCCAAAAAAGACGATGGAACATCAGCTTCTTCTGTACTCGAACTTGATCCTCAGTGTATACATTGTTGTATACTGGGACGAAAACAGCCCCAGGATTGGACTCCTCCATTGCTCCCATAAGTCTAGGGAGTAAAGCATACGAATCCTCCCAATCACCATACACCTCAGCCATGGCTTTCTGCTTTCCATGCCATGCTTTTTTGTACCTTATCGTGTAAGAATGTCGATCCTTCACCTCTGCCATGATAGCTTTCACCTTGATATCTGGTTGT